GATAATGTGGGCCAGGCTTGTACGATGATCTGCAAGCAGGAATTCGGGCTAACCGAGGGGTTCACCAGCAAAGAAGGAGTGGCCAGTCTTCAAGAATTATGGGCCAGGAGAATTCAAGGTGGAGATGGAGAGGAGGACAGCTTCAGTCTGGAGGAAAAGCTGGACAGATCGCTGCATTTAGACAAGAGCAGGGCTGATGGAGTAAATTTGGACGAAAAGCAGTCAAGAAACGACTGTGAAACTGGGCATTCGTGAGATTCAAAGCGTTTCACTCAACAGTCTGGACGCTGTTGGACAGTTATGTCCTGGCCTTCACTCTGTATCTCTGAACTGCCATGATGAAGATGATGGCGGTTATGATGAAGGTTCAGGTTTCAGGCGGACGACGCTTTTAACCAAAGGTTTAGCTACATGGTCCGGTCATTTGTGCTGTCTCTCCCTGCAGTTCCCTGGCCCTCTCTCTGAGTTGGTTACTCCTCTGCAGGTCACAGGGTCCAGCCTGATCTCCCTCACCCTGGAAGGAGTCCAAGCTGATGGACACCTACCCTTCCTGGACCTTATCAGTGCCTGCCCCAAACTGACCTCTCTCACCATTCACGTAGACCCTCCTAGGTCGAACCAGGAAGAGGAAGAAGATGATGAAGACTTAGAACACTTGAATTTACCTTGTCTTCCAGACCTCAGATCTTTAACACTGAAGTAAGTTTAAATGTTTGGTCAGATAGGTGTTGATTTTTCTTCAGTTCACACCATCATACTTTCAGGTATGCCGTGGAAGCTTAACCTGCTTTTTTGTCAGTCTGCTCTGATCTAGAGTGCTAATCAAAAGCTTGGACACACCTGCTTGAATGTATGTTGAATGTCCTAAAGACATTTCGATCTAAAAGCTTTTGTTTAAATGCTTGAAATGGGACAGAAATTAATTCTTATGCATGAGCTTATCTCCAAAACGAAAAGTTTTTATCTTTTTCTTTTTTTTAAATCCCTCCTCACAACAAGCAGTTTTCATTATTGTGAAATTGTTATCATCATAATTACTACAACATAGTGCATAATCCCTTTGGTTTATTTCACTTGCAGTCAGAATGGCTATTAATTACAAGTCTTTAATTTTACACCATCAAGGAGTAAAAAGCAGGAAACACAAAGCATTTAACAGCTTGTAAATACTGCCAAAGTTTAGTTTTAAAAGTTGGTTACAATTTCTGATCCAAGTAATCCCAAATACAAATCTAGACTCCTCAGTCATCAGATTTTTGCACGGTACTGTAGGCATGATCTTTATATTAAATATGAATTAGTGAATTTTGTGTTATAAATGAATTAGTGAATCGTCTGTCCTTATTAATGTGTTGGACCCAATGTGTGAGGGTAGGTAGGATCAGACACTATTTAGCATCAGACACTCTATCCACACATATATATGCAGCATCTGATAGGTGTTGGACCCAATGTGTGAGGGTAGGTAGGATCAGACACTATTTAGCATCAGACACTCTATCCACACATATATATGCAGCATCTGATATATATGTTGCATGCTATGCCGGGCACAACTGTCTTTGATTTTCACAGTTCCGTTCTGATCGGCTCTCTACACATTCTTGTGAACACGTTTCCAGGCAGCAGTATTCATCAGTCTGATGGGAAACTTAGTTTGGCCAGCAGCTGCCTGCTCTGCCCACCTTTGAATGTTATGCAAGAGCTTTCTTGGAAGCATCTAGTAGTGCTTAGCAGTGTTTGTGAAGCATAGCACTTGGCTTCCTTTCCTGTAGCCTAGTTTTGAAAATCTCCTGCCTCTACATGTTGCATTAAAACAGTGGTCTTTGAGGTTGGTCAGTCGTACTTTCCTGTCAAAGTAGGCGACATTAAACAACAAAATGCACCAGACTCTCTGATCATTGGTGGTTCCACTGCCATGTGTACACGCTTCCCTGCAATGATTTTTCAGTCAGGAAATCAGGATCTTTGAAGCAGTTGCCAGCTCTGCGAGCCATGCTTGAGCCCTATGGAGCAGTATTGGCTTATAATATTGTTTTCACATGTATATTGTGTTTTTTTTTTTTGTTTTGTTTTTTTTTGTAAGCCTGTTTAGACAATTTCCCATTCCTACACATTGTACTAACAACAGACTGTAGTTGGTTATTTTGCCAGTTGGCCAAACCACCCTTTCCATTAGAAGTAGGTGGTTCTTGGTCATGTTAAGGGACGAAACACACCAGACTCACTGACAGTACTTAGCAGTCTGGCTTGCAAGACTAGGAGAAAACTACATTTCTGATTGTAATAATTCTATCATTTGACTGGTACAAAATATGCATTGTAATGACCTGTGCTTCTTATATTCTATGCTGTTAACAGTTTCTCTTTGGACGAGAGGCAGCTGAAGCCGGTGCTCTGTTGGAGGTCCCTGAGGGGTCCGCTCTGGGCCTTGCTGAGAGGCGCTCCGCAGCTCCAGAAGCTGTCTCTATTGGCCACTCCCTGTCGGCTGGATCCTGTGTTCCGGTTGGTTCTGGATCACCACAGCAAGCCACTCAACGCCCCGGACCAGCTACCACTGAGATGTCTCAGACACATCAGCCTCAAGCGCTCTGATGTCACCATGGAGACGACAGCTCGTCTTGTGAACACCTGCCATCGCCTGTCCACTCTAGATCTGAGCGGGTGCTGGTCCATGACCCTCAGCAATGTCACTAAATTACAGGGTAAAGCCAGCAGGAGGCGCCATAAACTGCATATAACTTGGACATGAGACAGTGGAGTCACTGTATTAGTAATAATGGCACTTTATTACATTCCATGTACCCAGCCACAATAATTTCTTATGCAGTTGGATATTTTATTAATCTTAAATTTATCTTTTCGAAGAAACCAACAACTATTTGTTTTATTGAAGTTTGCACTGTTATATCAAGTTAAGCACTGCTATATCAGATGGATACGACTTTATACGAGTATGTTTACATGTATTGGTCTTTTTAGTCAGACATGCAGAGGTATGTATGCAGTTTTGTCATGTATTCACATTTCCATGATTTGTTGATTTATCTGGGGAATTTTTGCCTTTGATGAGCTTGATGTCTTTCTGAGAAGTGGCGGACTCTGGGGAAAAACGAAATGAGGCAACAGTGTATAAAGAACAAATGCCCGTCAATAAACTTTGCTATGGTTGCACCAGGTTTAGCCAACAGGGTAATTTGGTTGGCTTGCCAAACCCTGAATGCTGTACTTTTGTTTTTATCTTGTTATTATTCTTCACAAATGCTTTGTTTTTTTCATACTGTTTTGAAACCACAACCAAACTTTCCAAATATTCACTTACTGTTTGTTTTTTCCAGTTTCAGAAGTTTTGAGTTGTACATTTACCTTTTACTTTTCACACTTTTATCTTTTTTTGTTCATCCATCAATTTTCATCCAATAGACATCAGTTAACACTTTGAATTTTACTTGTATGGTTTACAGCTAGAACAACCAAAGTTGGTAGACGTGGGAAGGCTGTCCTGACCTAACTATATATCCTTTCGTTTTTCTTCACTCCTCTTTAGTTCCTTCTTTTTCATCACTCCACTCTTTTACTGAAATCTGTCGATTTCCATACTAACTGAATTTTCAAGGTATTGTGAAGCTCAATACAGCTGATGGCCACGTCACAAAGCATCCATCTAACCCTTCTATGAACCCTCCATCATCCTATAGAAAGTAATTTTGCATCTCTCTGAATTTTGGAGATATAGTCATGAAATATCCAGACTGAAGAGACAACCTAAAACACACAGAGGTTTAAAACCACTGATCTAGATATATTATCTCCAAAGGGACTCGAAATAGATTATACAATGTTCTTTTGAAAGTGTCATATCTTGTCTTTGAGAATCTGAATGCTGAACTGTAACTTTTGAGTCTTTATCCTATGTCTGTGTTTAGGCCACTACATAGGGAAGATGAGGAAAGGAGAACGCTCGTCTAGTTAGCGCCTGCTTTCAGTTTGAGAGCTTTTTTGAATGGTGTCCTTTTGTGTTGTTTTTCCACATCTGATAAAGGCCTTACCTGTGGGCTGAAACGTCATGTTTTTAACCAAAGTTTGGTTTTGGTTTTTTTTAATCCATTCATGGTGGAGAAGTATGTACATGTAGGCATTTTTAGGCACAGTAGTCCCCGAAAAAAAGACTTATTTGTCTGATCCATCAATATTTTACAATTATCAATATATTAAAATCATATTAACATTACATATAAAAACTCAGAAGATGTGTGTAGGTTCACTGCCCATTTTGGATAGTAAATAAAGTACATTTGGATTGCAGACCTCATAACTGGCCTGGTTCCCATCACCACCACTGTAAAGAAATTAGAGTGGGTAAGTTTCTCTAAACCCATTTTACATCAAACCATTCTGAATGACTCTATTTACATCTCAACAATTAAATTTTGTGGATTTTTTTTTTATTGGTGGTCCTCATTAGCTTTCATGCTCATTAAAACTTGTTTGCAAACTTTACCTTCTAGTTTTGATGTTTTCCTTGGACAGATGTAAAAATCTAAAAGCATATAAAAATTGACAGCACACGATGACCAGTCACATTTACTAAGAAGGCACAAATTGACACAGTAATGACTTTTTCGAAGTTCCTGCATGCTTTGGAATGTGACTAAATCACGTATTTTTCCGTAAATCTGAGTATGTGGCCGTAATCCATGCCAATAACTTTAGTAAAACTTTAACTTTGGTTAAACACAAATGTTTACACTGGCCCATTTATAACTGGATTGATGTCAATAACTTTGCAGACCACACTGACCACCTTTGTCTTGGCTAAGCAGAGATCAAATTCGGACTCCACAGAAGTGAGGTGAGATACCAGACTTTTTTTTCTACATTAACAATGAAATGCCATCTCTGTCTGTCTGTAGCTTGCTTAGACCTAATTTTTTTTTAATTTCTACCATTTAGTGTCTAGTTGAAAGATGCTAATGCAGAATGTTGACCCATCTGCAGTGGTGTCCATCACTCCAGTTTTTACTGTCGTCCAAGACAACTGACTCCGCTCTTCAGCTAATTTGTTCATCTGATAAGTTGGTTTAAGATTATGATTCTTTATTCAGTGCATCATGAAATTGAATTTCATCACAATTTGATTTGAATACTTTGGTCTAAAAACACTGAATCATAAATGATGAATGGGAGCGTAATGTGCTAAAAATGTTGTCTCATGATTGAATGCAGACATAGGCAAAAGTTTGGGCACCACTTCACTCTCAGAAACCCAGAGTCCAGCATCTTTCATGCTCATTTGCTGTAGCAGACTGAGCCAGCAGCTCCACTTTACTAATGTTCAAGGCTGACAAGGATGTTTAAAAGTGAAGTAAACTAACACCTATCTGTGAAAATGTGAGATGTGGTCAGCTTCTTATCTACTGCAGGCTGTAGCTCTCTGCTGGATTTAAAACACTAAAAATGTAGCATAGTTTGTTAGACTGTGCTGGGTGACCAGCTAAACCAGCACCAGACCAGCATGAATTCCAGCTGTTTTTTCATGAGGGTAGGGTGGCAGTGTCCAGTTTTGAGCTCCTTTGTCTGATGCCCCGTTGGTACTGCCGACCTTATGTTAAAATGTCCAGTAGAACCTCACTCTAAAGGTATTCAATTCAAGTAGTTAAAGTGTGATTCCAGCCTTGTCATTGCGTGTCTCTATCGGCCAAAAAAAGAAGTCTGTTATTGGAACTTTTTAGAGTGTCAAAGGTAAAGTATGAGTGCAGGTATGATGAATCAAGTGGTATGAGCATGTGGAGACAAACTGAAAAGCAATGACTAAAGTGGAAAAACGTGAAATGCAATGCACATGAAATTAATGTTGCTTTAAATAGTGCACCATGGAAAGCAATAGTCATGCCTTCATTACATTTCAAGGCGGATTGCATTTCATTTTTAAAATCCTCATGCGTTGTTTTTCAGTTAAGAAGTCAGGCGACAAATGCAATAGACAGGTTATTATAGGTTATTAATAGGTTTATTTTTCATTTTTGCACTTATTCCCCAAGTCATTATGGAAACATAATGCCATGTGCTTTGCATTTCATGTTTTTCCAAAGCAGTGATTGCTTTTCTATTTGGCATGGATTCCTCTCCATATGAGCAATCTGTATTCCCAAAGTTGAAATGAAACCTATGCCAAAGCTGTAACATGTTACTTCATTACAGGAAAAAGAAATTAGATTAACCCCCCCGACACAGCCTCTGCTAACACACACTGGTGACTGATTTTCCCCTACAGACAAAGCCATGATTCCTCGCCTGTTGTGCGTGGCTGTCCTGGTCCTGGCGGCTCACCTGGCGCTCACTGAAGCTGCCGTCCGCGTGTGGGGCCTCCAAGCCTATGGTCTGGAAGGCGACCCCACAGGACCCCCTGACCCATATGTCATGGTGTGGTGTGGCAGTTCTTTCGGCGGCATGACCGAGTTCTACAGGGACACTCACAGGCCTTCATGGAATGCCGAGTTCTACTTCACCAACTGCAAAGTCAACGACGTCCTAAAGCTGGAGGTGTGGGACAAAGATCTTAACCTCGATGACCACCTGGGCACCTGCACCACACATGTGCAGGGAGGCCCAACTCGTAGAATATCCTGTCGTGTGAGCAAAGGCAGTCTGACTTACAGCTACCAAGTCAAATGAAGGTCTCATGAATATTATGTTAGCTTCACTGCTAAGTGCTAGCTCCAGTCGTTATGTCTTTCCTCTCGACTGATCAATTAAAAATGTGATTTTCCACCAACTTGTGTGTGATTCTGTTGTCATTTTCCAGACTATTTGAGGGAATAAATACTATGACTGGGGTGTGCTGTTAATAAGACTAGATCAGGAGGGGTTGACAAACCACCGTTTTCTCAGGAAAAATTCTGCAGATTTGGCAATTTAAGGTTAGAGAATGAAGAAAAAACGGGCCAAAAAAACTTGCCCCCCTGTATGGGGAATTAGAATTATTGTGCAAAAAAACAATTACCTGTGCATGTGACAAAATAAACAATAAAATACTTTGGTGGCTGCCATATGCTGTGGGCAAAGAGAGAAGGACTGAATCTGTGTTCTGCGGTTAAGATTCTAATATATATTGACATCTCACCTATTATTGTGTTCAGGCGTTTCAGCCACACCCATTGCTAATAGGTGTATAAAATTAAGCACATGCAGTCTCCATAGACAAACACTGGCAGTAGAATGGGTTTTGCCTATCCACAGCCCGCAGTATTTTTGCACCTGTGAAGAGATTTAGCACAAAGCCTTACAACTTTTTCTGTGTTTTCTCTGCTCCTAACTTCAAAATCACAACTGAAGTTGAACTATCAGGTAAGTTAACGTTAGTGACTTTTCCATCTGCCGCCACTCCACAGACAGCTGTGTGACTTAGTTTAAGTTCAGATTTAGCTTTTGCTAGTAGCGTTAGCCTGCTTTTGCCTGTTGTATTTTAATTAAGAGATCCATTTTAGGTTCAGCTGTAGCTTGGCCTCTTTACCTTACATACTTAAATTAATGCAAGTGAAACTGTGTACTGACAACTTCACACATCAATACTAAAATGTAGCTGGTCGCCCATATAACAGTAGGATGCTTGTTTGTAACATCCTCTACAGCTATTTATGTGGTAAACTGCTACTAATTTTTACAAACAAATGGGGGCAACATTGCCTCTGCTTCTTTATCATAGAAGCTTGTGGTGCAGAGGCTCCCGGGAACTCGGAGCTAAAAAGGATACATCGGTGCATCCTCAGAATTTGCCCCAAAGAAGAACGCAGTGCTCAGCTGCATATCAAGGATCCTCTGCATTCTTTTGAAATGGGACTGTGCTTATGATATATATGTGGTCGAGAAATGGAACCTTCCAAGGTCAGAGCCCCGTAAATGAGACACAGCAAATGTTTTATAATGTGGTGCTGTCATAGAATGCCACCTTTGCCACAAGTCAGTTTGTGAAATTTCTGTCTTGCTAGATCTGCCCCTGTCAACTATAAGTGCTATTATTGTAAAACTGAAGCATGTATGATAAACTACAGCCCAGCCTTGAAACTTTACACCACACAAACTCACAGATTGTGAGCAGCAAGTGATGAAGCATGCAGCACGTAAAAATTGCCTGTCCTCTGTTGAATAACTCACTACAGAGTTACAAACTGCCTCTGGAAGCAACACTGACACAAGATATTTGCATTGGGAGCTTCATTAAATGGGTCTCCATGCCTGAGCAGCTGCATATAAGCCTAAGATCACTATGCTCAATGCCAACTGTCAGCTGGAAGCAGCACTTCACTATCTGGCAGTTTGATGGACAAATCTGGATTTGGTGTCAACAGTTTGGGGAGGGCCATTTCCTGTTCCAGCATGACGGTGCCCCTGAGCTCCATAAAGACATGATTTGGTGAGATTGAGGAGGAACCTTGACCTCAATCTTCCAGTCCAACAAAAATGCCTGACCTCAGAAATGCTTTTTTTCTGTAAAAGCACAAATTCCTACAGATACACTCCAAAATCTTGGAATGGGATGTTCAACAAGGTCATATAGGTGTGATGGTCAGGTATCCACATGTTTGGCTTTCTACTTTCTTCTTTAACACTTGGAACCCCTGTAAGAGTAGTCTATTCACATACTGGGGGGCTAAACCTTTTGGCATGTGGAAAATCTTAAGTATTAAGCATCCAGCATCAATCGCAGTGGCAGAAAAGTCCGTTATTATACACTATGTGCATTCACACATATTGTTCAGCATACGTGGCAATACATAAAGGACAGTTCATGCATCCAAAAGTGTTTGGATTAATAAAAAGTGTATGGGATAGGACCACCTGCTGACACTTTGAAAGCTGCAGTACAGATTACCAAAAAAGAGTAGTTGGGGAAGAAAGGGAGGGGGACCTGCAGCTTCACTGGGGTTCTTCCTAGAAGCTTCACATAATGTGAAGGTTCCTCAAACTTTAAAAGGTTCTTCATGTTCTAAAACAAAATACACTGAAAGCTTCTTTAGGGAACCAAAGTCTTCTACGTCATTGCACAACTGCTCCGTTCTAGAGAAACTTACAGAGTCACAGTTGTTCACAGTGGTGGTGATAATAACCACAAAGAATTTAACATCTCTAAAAGCTCCCTCACAAAAAGTTATTACATAAACTGGCTAAGAATAAATGATACTGTGTCCATTTTATGAGCTTTTTGCTAAATTTTCTTATTATTATATGTTTTTGCTTTTTTCTTTATGCTGAAAAGAGACTTGCACCTAATAACTGTTTTAAAAAAAAGGAATTTGTAAGGTAAACTGGCTTTCTGCCATTTAGCAATCTGTGATTTTCCCTTGGTTTTCACCAGATGCTGTAGTTCTTATCAAAAGCACATGACATAGTTCATACCTATGTAAAATGTAAACAACATAGAGTTTGTTTTTCCCTTTTCATTGGCTGAAATACACAAGATTAGGTCAACCACTGATAAGCTCAAGGATGGTGTACAGATTGGATCTTCTTTAAATGGGGGCTGAGCTAAGATGAAGGTACTTGGTGCTTCTTGTTGCTGAGAAATACAGCTCGAGGTAAGACATTTGTTTGCTTTAAACTCCAAAAGACTTGTCTTTCTCCACTTGCAGCTCATTAAAATGTTAGTTGTACTTGTTTATACTTCATACTTCCTCATTCAAATGTACTTTAGACCTGTAGATCTCCTTAAATGCTGCGTAGATTCCTCCAGTTTTATCCTCTTGCTCTTCACAGACGAAACCATGGCCTTCTCTTCTCGCCTGGTATACCTCGCCATCCTGGTCCTGGCATCTCACGTGATGTTCAGTAATGCTGCTGTCCGTGTGTGGGGTCTCCGCGCCAACGGCCTGTCAGGTGACGCTATGGGAAACCGCCCTGACCCGTACGTCAAGGTGTGGTGCGCTGGCGTCAACGGCGGCAGAACCGAGACCATTAAGGACACACACAGTCCCAGCTGGGCCGCAGAGTTCAACTTCCCCAGCTGCAAGCCTAACTCAGTCCTGAAGTTGGAGGTGTGGGACCAAGACGTTTCCAAAGATGACCCATTGGGCGGCTGTGACTACAGACTGAGAAGCGGGTCTATTTCTAATGCTAAGTGCTCCCTGAAAAAAGGCACTGTGTACTTCAACTATACAGCCAAATGAACATCTCTGTAATAAACAGTATCAATCAGAAATGGCTTCCATTGCTAAATGCTACAGATTTCATATGTGCACAAGAAAATCAGTGAACACACATGGAAAGTTTCTCATGTTTCTGAGCAATTTATGAAGTGATTCCATGCAAACTGGCTTCAGACTCTGTCATTGCTCTTGCAAAAATGTACATAAAAATGGCCATCTTTTCAAAGCCATATATCAAGTAACTTGGAGGTAACTTGGTTGCCAGACAGAAAAAAAGCATAAATACATTTTAAAACCAAAATATACAAAATCTTTCAAATATATAAGCTAAATGTGTACACTACAGAATCAGCAATCAGTAATGTATAAAAAAAGAACTCATGTCTGTCCTGTCACATCTATGAAAAAATAAGCATTATCTTCTATGCAACTATTCAAAATTTCAAAACTATGCTCCAAAGTTTAGACCCAGCAGGTTCTAATCTGCATCTTAAATATTGAGTTTAACTGCTTACAAAATGACTGATCTGAGCTGAAATATTAACTTTATAACACAACCCAAAGAATAATATTCAGATTGTACTGAAAGACCCTGAATATTTCAGCACCTAAAATATTTCATCTTTGAAACTGAATATCTCCTGGCCTTTTATAAGCAGCTGACAGAAGCTAACTGATGCCTTTGGTCACAATTACTAAAGGTGTGTTTGGAGAAAAGAAGCAGTGTTTGATGAAAAGAACACATTGCCAACTATTAAGCATGGGCATGGATCTATAATGTGTTGGGGTTGTTTGGCAGCCAGTGACACTGGAAACAATGCATGTGCAGATTAAGGAATGGATTCCAATAAATGTCAGCAAATTTTGGAAGTTAATGTGACACAGTTGGTTAAGAGGTCAAGTCAAATTAAGCTAAAAGACAATTATACACAAACCCCAAAAGCCACCATGAACTACTTCAAGCTGAAGCTTCTGGAATGGCCCTGACACTTCACCAACTTGAACACCATTGAAACTCTGTGAGGAGATCTTTAAAATGCTGCACATACAAGACAACCCAAGAATATTGCTAAAATAGAAACGTTCTGCATTCCTAAAAGAAGAATATAAATACTCCTAGCTGGCTACAAGAAGTGTTTGCAAGCTGCGATATCTGCTAAAATGGGGTGTTACTAAGTACTAACTTCTAGCAGGATGTCCAAATTTTGTATATGCACACCTATTTGCACATTTGGCCAAGACTGCCCAAACATTTACTGCACACACTATAGCTGTAAAAACTGTTAATTTTCTGTAATGTAAGGAATGTATGAGGTTTTTCAGCCAACTTAATGAAGGTATGCACATCGGCGCTGTTATTTGACGCCAACGTGCGACAAGGGCTCAGTGACTGTGTGATTTATCAGCTATTTATTCAGCATTTGTCCATTGCTGTTGCTATATTAAAGCAATATCCAGACTATAGAAAGCCATAGTAGATGACATGTGGCTTGAAATTTCTACTGAAGAGGCAGTCTTTCTTTTAGTTAAAGACACAAATGCTAATGGTCTGTTAACTCAGCTAATAATACTAGCCCAGCCTTTTTCACCTTGTATCTTTTAGCTATAAGTTTGTGAAGAAGTAGTAAATTGATACTAAACATTATAAGTGATGTTGAATGTTTTATTTCATTAAATTCAAACGAGTAGACTGTAAAAATGAGCTTGAACTTGATGTTAATCAGCACAATCACTGCAACACAGTGATACTACATGAGGCTACGTGTCTGGTGTGCAGTGCCTTAACTTGTTCCAACTGAAATACAGACCTACATCACTCCCTGTGAACATTAGTGAAAGAAACTGTGAAAAAATTAAAACCACATGAAAAAATAAATGTAGTTAAACGTAGATCACTTATACGTTAACATCATAATGAATACATTGTTTGTCATGAGTTTAGCGCTTGCCACGCCATGCTATGTCCCAATAAACAAGTGGTAAACACTCATGAAAAAAAAATCTCAACAAAATCTGGATTTAGCAGACAAATTTGGCTTATAGAGACAAACAACGGCAGGAAAATCACCGTAAGTGTTGAGATTTAAGGCAATACAGTTCGTAATCTCTATTTTCTGTTTTTATTCTATTTATATAATCTACATATAATCCATTTTTGTAATAGTTACAATAATATTAACAATAATAATAACTTACATTTACTTTTCATACTGGTGGCAGCTCAGGGTGTTTTACAGACAGCCAAAACTGAAGAAAAGTAGCAGAACTATAAAATATATCCTGAAAGACACAGGTCGCCAGTGCCACTTCAAAACGGTTGTGATACCGTTACGTTTTTTTGTTCTCGGTACGGTTTTTTGTTCTTGTTAGGATCTGTGCTGTTGCATTTTGTATGAGTTGTAAAGGATGTGCAAGCAGGCCTGGTAAAAAAGAGCATTACAGTGATCAACTCTGCTTGTAACAAATGCATTAACAGGTTTCTCTGCATCGCTCTGAGATAGAAAAGGCCAAACCTTTACAAAATTTCCCACGTTTCATACTTCAGGTTTGGTAGCAGAAGCAAAGGAGCCTGAGCTTCTTGAGAAATTTAGTACCAAGCATGGGCAACATTTGAGACTTACGTCAGAGGGGGCAAGCCATCTCACTCAACTAAATATGTGGGTCTACATCAGTAAAACAAATAACACTTGTCAGAAGTAAAAACCTATATTCAGCAAATAACCTACATTTAGCAAAGTATAAACAATGTCCTACCCAAATAAAATGCAAGACAGCGCCCACTGGGCATGGCATCAAATGCACTGACTGTTTTTTTTCATGTAAAGTCCATGTAAATGGCCTGTTCAATATTCAGTACTGCAGTGTCAAACAGTTTCTCTTGACTCATAGTGTTTCTCATGTAAGCTTTCAACTGATACAAGCAAGAAAAGTTCCTTTCGCAAGATGTGCTGCTCATTGGCACGGTCAGGAACAACTTGAAGAGGTTACTGATGTTTACTAGGCTATTGCCTAGATCTGACATTTTAAAAAGTGCTAATCATTGATTGAAGCCGATTTCTTCTGATGGCATTGCGTTAAAAAAGGGACGGCTCTGCATCCGTCTCCTCTGTCGCTTAAATATAGCTAACCTCTTCAGAACGCTGATTAGCTGGGGTTGAGACTGGAGCAGAAAGGCCAGTAATTGGGGCCTCCGTAACACTCGTCTGTTCAAACTGTCATTTTTTGTCTGGAACGTGAGTTTTTGGCTTTTTAAAGAAGTAGTCGTTGAGTGTGTTGGGTCATTAAGCCATTTCTAGCCATTGGCCAACGCGCCTTTACCATGTGAATGTGAATAATTTCTGGGGCGAAACATTACAAGCAGCCAATCTGTTGACTGTTTTCACTACTTGGCTGCCTCCTAGTGTCGTGGAGATCAGTCTCTATATGTGGTAGATTGTTTTGACAAATGTCAATATTCTATAATTAAAGTGAGTTGACAAACATTTTAGCCCCCCACAATGTCGCCCATGGTACCAAGGATCAGTATCTGTATCTGTGCAGTAATGTACCTGTAATTTGATCACTGTGTTTTTTCTGTAATTGTCACCTTTTTTATGTATCTGTATTATGTATGTAACCCGTTACTACCCAACTGTAGTCCTTTTATATTCTGTAATGTAAACATGCACATTTATATTTCACCAAAAAACTGAGATCATATTGTAAATTACATACCACCATCCACTACCTCCCCAAATTCAATCCTTGAGATGTAAACAAAGACATTACGTGCAATTTGTGAAATGGTTCACTTTCTTTACAGTGGTGGTGACTGGAATTAGGGGTTGCAATGTCTGCAACACAGCTTTTGTTTTTATTAGCCATTTTATTTACCATCCAAAACCAGCAGTGAGCCTAAATGTGAAATCCAATGTTGATAATGGTAAAATAGTGATCGATCTGAAATAATGTTTTTTGGGGGGACTATTTTGCCTTACACAGCCCTGCATTTACCCCTCTGCCATTAATGTGCATGAAAAACAGACTTTAGACCAAAACTATATCTCAAAACTATTGTAAAATATTGTAGTAGTTATAATTTTCCAGATTGCTATCTTGAGATCATGCCCCAACTATCTTGTGATCTCAAGACAACAATCTAGAAAATTATAGCCACAGTTCATACCCTCTCTTGCTTATTGATAACCATTTCATTTCATGTAGTAACTTCATGTTAGGGGGCTTTCAGAGGTGGATGTCTGGTTCCTATCGCCACCACTGTGAACAATTCTGACTTGGTAAGTTTCGCTTCAACAGAGCATTTCACACCAAACCACTCTGAATGACCAAGAAGAGTGGAGGCTGTTGTAGCTATAAAGGGGGGCAACTCCATATTAATGGCCGTGATTTTGAAATGAGATGTCCAACAAGCTCATGGTCAGGTGTCCACATACTTTTATAGTGTATAGGCCATATAGTGTATGATTCTTCAGATTCTTCTTTAAGACTTGTAATGTATTCAGTGGGCTAAAACCTTTCCTGATGTGGAAAATCTTAAGCAATAAGCATCCAGCATCCATCACAATGGTAGAATAGTCCACTTGATATACATTATGAGCATTCACACATATTGTTCAGTTATGTGGCAATACATAAGGACAGTTCTTGCATCCAAAAGTGTTTGCCTTAACAAACAGTGTATGGGACAGGACCACCTGCTGACACCTTGAAAGCTGCAGTACAGATTACAAACAGAGAGTAGTTGGGTGCCGTATACGGTTCCAAAAAACACTTTTATTACCATAAAGAGTCATTTTTGAAAATCCTTTTGAAGGCTTAAATAATCTACACATAATATCATAATATCAAGTCTCATTGCATTGTAAGGGTTCTTCCTAGAAGCTACACATTTTGTGGAGGTTTGTTAAACTTTATAAGGGTTCTTCATATACTAAAGAACAATCCAATAAAGATTCTTTATGAAATCAAAAGTAGGTCTTTTGTGGCATTGTACAACTGCTCCATTGTAGAAAAAACGTGCTGAGTCTGAATTATTCACAGTGGTGGTGATAGGAACCAGACGTCCACCTCTACAAGCTCCCTCACAGAAAGTTATTACATGAATTGGTTATGAATACGGTGCCCGATGCCTGAGATGTAGAGTTTTACTGTAAGATTTTGGCCTAAAAGATTTTTTTTTTTTCTTTTTGTTCCTCTTAGCGTTTCCTTCTTGTGTTCTTAAGTGTCTCCTGCCACTGTCTCTGGTTGCTCAGGGGGTCCTGGGGGAGTCCAAGACTCCCTAATAACCTCTTGGACCCCTTGAATGTCCCTGAAAATAAACCTATGATGTTATGCTGTCCATAAGGGAAAAAAAAACAATTCAAGGAAAGGTCATTGTTTAGTCTTTGATACTGTTAATCAACTAGTGATGCAGCACTGGTTTGCCTCAGTGTGGCGCTGTAGCAAATTGAGAATGCTGGCATATTATTTATAATATATATTATACATATTATTTTGCACACTAGCTGGATCCACATTTCTAGAAAGCTTGTGCAAATGACTTACTGTACAGAAGTCAGTGACCACCCTACATTTATTTAATTTCCAGTCAAAAAAGACATTAAGTACAAGTTACGCATTTTACAGTAGATGTTTCTGAAGAGATTAGATGTAAGATGCACTTGCGTAAGGAAGGAGAAAGTCAGTGAGAAATAAGTGAAAAAACAGAACTACAGAAAGTACAAAGAAACTGGGATTTTTAACAACCACCTGGAAGACCTGGTAGACACCAAAACTGTTCTAATCAGATAAACAGAACTTAAAGCTTTCATCCTTCCACTGTGAGAAGGCAACTCAGCTAAAGGAAAGGATGTGTAGCTGTCAGAAATGTTTCTGAGAAAGGACATCAAATGAAGAAGCTGCTGGTGTTCTCAGAACAATGGACTGACCACACTAGTCCAGACCTCAACATCACTGAATGTGTTTACATTGTGAAAAGCAGAAAATGCAACCAAGTTCTAACACTGAACTTTGGTGATATGGAAAAATATCCCTGCGGATTTCTTTGAAAAACTGAAAGTGAGTCTCCTGAAAAGAATGGAAGCTGTGAAGGTAAAGAGTGGACACACTTAATACTGAGCAATTATTGTACTTTTAATGTGATTCTTGCCTAATTTTCTGCTAAATATGTTTTCTGCTTCTTTCCTGATGCTGAAAAGTGAATAACTTGAACTGACTGGCCATTTGACTGAAATTCAATACATGCAGGGTGGTCTTCTGCACAGTAGTTAAATTTGATGGCAGACTGGCTTTCTGCCATTTAGAAAACCATGTGTTTTTCTCTTCCGTTCAACAGATGCTCCAGTTCTTATCAAAAGCACATGACATTATTCATGCTTAAGTATAACGCAAGCAACATATGGTTTGTTTCCTTTCTTCTCATTGGCTGAAATACACACGACTAGATCAACTGTTAATAAGCTCAAGGTTGGCGTAGAGATTGGATCTTCTTTAAATCAGGGCTGAGTTAAGCTGATGGTACTTGTAGTTTCTTGTTGCTGAGAAACGCAGCTCGAGGTAAGACATTTGTTTGTCTAAAACCCCAAAAGACTTGCCTTCCTCCACCTGTAGCTCATTAAAACGTTAGTTTTACTTGTTTATACTTCACATTTTCTCATTCAAATGTACTGTAGCCCTGTAGATCTCCTTTCCTACTCTTAATAGTGTAGATTTCTCTTGCTCTTCACAGACGAAACCATGGCCTTCTCTCCTCTAAAGATGACTTATTAGGCAGCTGTAACGTCATGCTGTCAAGCGGGTCTATTTCTAATGCTAAGTGCTCCATGAAAAAAGGCACTGTGTACTTCAACTATACAGCCAAATGAACATCCCTGTAAAAACCCATATACATGTTAGCAATGTTAGACTAATGATGCAGTTGTTTGGGCAGGCTTTTGTCTAATAAATCTGTGAACACTGCTCACTTTAATGTATCCAACAATCTTCACATCTGACTCTCAGAATCTCATTCCCACGCATCATGAAGTTGCGGCTATGACTTAACTATCTTGCTCCCATAACTTAGTTAACTCATTCTCAAACATTAACAAGTCGTGGCCATGAATTAACTGAATTAACTATGGATTTACAGGGGACACAAAAATGCACACGGTGTCAAAATGTTTGCACTGGAGCTCTACAAAAGGTAAAACATGTTACAATACAGACACAACTGCCTTATTATATAAATGTGGCAGTATAAGATTGTACTGCCACATTTATATCATACAGAAAAAGTAAATGTGAGATGACACAGTGGCTCACATTTGCTGTTAATAATTCTGTCAGCTGACTTCTAGACAGTTCTAGATGTGATAGAACATGATGACCCACTAAAGACTACATGCAACTTTTCCATCATTAAATCAGTACACTGCCTCAGTTTTTTACTTTCAATGTTTATTAATTTAATTATTATTATTTCTAGTGAAACTGAGTGTAATTGATCAACTGATCCAACTTTTGACTAGTTTTCCTCCATTTACAACTAAGACAACATAAGAATAAAACTTATGGTTTCAGTAATATTTCCAAAACATTTTCTGGTGCATTACGCATAATGTGTCATAGGCTTAAATAAATAAAAAAAGTATTCATATAGCTGAGAAAAATAATTTGGGATTAAACTTGAATTTAATTTTATATAAAAATATTAAAAAATATTGTTAAAAAAAGGAAAATATACACTTTATATTTTGTTTCTAATATGTATAATACATAATACATAATACACTCAGCAAATAAATAAACTGTGAACTAACATTTCCAAAAAAAAATCCAACTGAGAGGTTACCACCTGTCTAAAAAACTTCAGTCAAACTTTAACTACAGTCAAACGCAAACATTAACAAATTTATAGTTGGCTCACCTGCTGATAATTTCAAGGCTGCTGTACAGATCATACCGGCCATAAATTCAGGCTCAGCTGAGCACTATCATAGCTTTCAGGCTCTGTAGAACTGAGGTGAGACTTTCTTTCTGATCACTTGCACGGTTACTCTGGACTTACCCGGGAGATCAGTGTAGTATCACATATCTGATTCTGCTTATCTGCTAAGTATCGAATCCACTGTGTGATCAGATGCTTTGTAGCTAAGAAAATATTAAAACCAGCACCAGGAGATCAGGACAACCTCTCATAACGTGATGTAACAAAGCTGACAATTTGGATCCACTGTATTTACTCATACCTTTTTTTCCAGACAAAGCCATGACCTCTCGTCTGATGTTAGTGGCTATCCTGGTCATAGCAGCTCACCTGGCGCTCACCGATGCTGCCGTCCGCGCGTGGGGTATGCGAGGCTTTAACTTGAAAGGCGACCCCACCGGCCCCCCAGACCCCTACCTCAAAGTCTGGTGTGGCTCCACCTTTGGCGGCATGACCGAGTTCCACAAGGACAACGCCAACCCTACATGGAGTGCCGAATTCTACTTCCCCAACTGCAGAGCCAACGACAACCTGAAACTGGAGGTGTGGGACAAGGACCTTAACTTCGATGACCACCTGGGCACCTGCACCTCGCAGGTGCGGTCCGGCACTCACGTAAATATTAACTGCATTGTGGGCAAAGGCAGTCTGAGTTACAACTTTGAGCTCAAATGAATGTCCTAAGTCTTCTCAGCTGCTTAGAGCTTCTAACAGCAATTAGTATGCCATATTTCATACATCTTTGCAAAGTCTTAACATGTCTTTGACATCAATTAAAGACCAATATTAAATTGATTTTCAGCAAACTTGTGTACAATTCTTCATTTACACTTCCTACACTCACATTCTGATGAAAAATTTGTATAAACAGTGGTCATTTTAAGGGTAAGAGGGAAATGGTTATTGGAGGGAAATAGTTTTTGGTGTATGGGTATGAGCTTACATTGTAATTCCACCAAATTTTCCAAGTTGCATTATTCAATACTTAAAATGTAAAGTCCATTAGAGTGGTTTGAAGTTAAATGCTCCATTCCAATTGCTCACAGTGGTGGTGATAGGAAGCAGACGTCTGAAGAGTTTAATGCCTGTAAAATCTCCCTCACAAAACATTATTACATGAAATGGACACAACGACACCCTTGAGGCTCAAAGGAGGATGTATCCCATGTACCAAGGGTATGTTTTCCACAATTCAGCATAGTAGGCACTGCTTTGGGAAAATTTGCCCTTATAAGGGGATACAAAGAGCCGGTCACTCTTTCTGAAAGCTTTGGCACTGGACACAGTCAGAGCCTCTGATTCTGTGTGGAAAAGAAGTGGGAGTCAATCGTCTCACAGGGAAGCACTTAGGCATACATGCTGGGTTAGGCTGGAGGGGAACTGACCATATTTGGGGAGAATAAGGTATGAACTGACAGTCATTTCAGTTCACCGACACATGTGGCCAAGGCCAGTGCCACAATCAATTAGCGATAAGCTTTCTAGAAACTGGCAAGGAACAACAACCTCCTTCATTTGTCTGTGAATGTGAATGTACTGACCAACTGTGCACTATTAAAGAGAAATGGTACATTTGGCTCTTTGCCAGAGCTTTAAAAATGTGGTCTTTCAAAAATAATTGATTATCAAGCCACCATAAAACCATACATCTCAAAATAAAGATCAGAATTGTCCAGGCTATGGTCATTCTAGACAATAAACAAGCAAGTCAGGAAAAATACAGAAGCCTTTAAAATCTGGTGTTGGCAAAGGCCTGTCATTCAAGGAGAACCTTGAATGACAAAGAAAACAAACAAATCACTCAAATCATTACTCAAAGCACAGATGTATAGCTGTGCTGGGAGGTGGTGGCATTTGTGAGGCCAGCCCTGAGGATTCTTAAAAGGGGTATGAGGAAACTTATTATTTCAAAAGTTCTCTAATTCAATCCACAATATGTAAAGGAAGTCATTCAGAGTGTTTTGGTGTGAAATGATCCATTCTGGAGAAACTTACTGAGTCAGAATTTTTCATAGTGGTGGTGAAGAAACAGATGTCTGAAAAGTTGAATGCCTCAAAAAGCTCCTTCACATAAATTTATTACATGAAATGGATACAACTATCATTGTTTCATAATAGGTTTTACAAAGATTTTGGCCTAAAATATTTTTATTTTTTCATTTATTCATAGTGTAGAGCCACACTGGTACATAACAGTAACCAAACAATTTAACACTATTTTATCATCATCGACAATTACTGATCTCACAGCTTTTTTTATTTCCCTCACTTCACTGACCTTGCTTTCCTTAAAAGCCTTTCTCAAATTATATAGAAGGACTTTTAAGTCATTAGAGATTCAGGGTTTGTGTTATTATACAGTATTGAGTCAGCAGAGCATTGGTGACTCTTATGCACTTGAGTTGCTGTGGTTCCTAAATGATTCCTCTTTTCAATAAAACCACTCACAGTTGATTGTGGAATATCTAGGAGGGCCGAAATTTTACGAACTGACTTGTCGCAACAGTACCATGTAATTACAGTACCACGCTCTAATTCAGTGAGCTCTTTAGAATGACCTATTCTTTCACAAATGGTTGTAAAGGCAGACTGAATGGCTAGGTGCTTGATTTTATACACATTTGGCAATGGGACTGAATGACACTCCTGAATTCAAGGATTAGGAGATGTGTCCCAATACATTTTGTCCATATAGTGTACATTACCAAGGAGAAAGCCATATATCAAGTCCATGCAGAAACACCACCGAGTTCTCTGGGCACGAGCTCATCTCAGATGATTCAAAAGATGAGCTTGTTTTTGGGAAGAACATACACTGCAATCTTGGTGCCAAAGACAAAAGGTCACCCAGACTTATCAGCGAAAGATCCAAAAGCCAACATCTGTCATGGTGCGAAGTGCATCAGTGCCCACGGCCAGTGTGACTTGCATATGTGTGAAGGTACCATTGATGTGGAGGTGTATATTGGGATTTTAGAGAGACATATGCTGCCATCCAGATGAAATCTTTTTCCCAGCAAGTCCATGGTTATTTCAGCAACATAATGCCAGGAATCATTGTGCATGTGCTACAACAGTGTGACTTCATAGACACAGAGTGTATGGACTTGACTGGCCTGCCTGCAGTCCAGATCAGTCTCCTATTGAAAATGTATGGTGCATAATGAAGAAGAATCAGACAATGACCCTCGCAGACTATTGAGCAGCTGAAGTTTTATATCAGGCAAGAATGGGCCAAATACCCACTTGCAAAACTGCGACAGATACTATCCGCTGTTCCAAAACGATTAAAAAGTGTAGTGAAAATAAAAGGTAATGTAACAGTGGTAATCATGCCTCTGTCATAATTTTAAGTGTGCTGCAGGCGTCATATTCTAAAATTCTTTACATTTACAAAACACAAAATAAAGGCATTTTTTCTACATTTCTGCAGAATTCAATGGTTGAGATGTAAATAAAGTGGTTTGATGTGAAATACTTCGATAGTAAAGAAACTTACTGACTACTACTTATTTACAAGGGTGCTGATGGAAACCAGGGGTTCCAATGTCAACAACAAAAATATAGTTAATTAAATTTACTATCCAAAACCACCACTGAACTTACATGATTTTGTACATGTAATACTGATGATGGTAAAATAGTCAATCTGAAAAAAACAAGTTTTCTTTGGGGATTACTTTGCCTTAGAACATTTTTCATAGCAGGAATGAACTAAACAAATAGATTAAAATATGTTTTTGACCAAAACTGTACAAAGTTACCATAAAACAATGACTCAACCATCAGGCAGTGTATTTATAACCATTACATGTAATTACTCTCTGGGATGGAGCTTTGAGAGGCATGAAACTCCTTAGTGCCTGGGGCAGGATTCACAAAAGCTTTCTTAAGAAAAAAACTTGCAAAGGTTTTTAAGACAAACACTAAGAAGTTCATAAGAATGTTTTTATTATCAAAAAACCTTAAGAAGTTCTCAGATATTCTCTTAAGAAAATCTTTAGGATTTTCCTAAGATTTTATGATTTCCTTAAGATTTTCTTAAGACAATCTTCATTGTTTTCTTATATTGGCTATGAGATATACTTTGAATTTCTATTATCTATGTTTTCTAATATTTATTTTAATCTGCTCAGAGGACAGGCAGCAAAATGGATAAAAACATAAAACCAAGTGTTGAAAAAAATTAGCAAACAAGAAATAGAGGTGACGCTGGAAGAAACAGCCAAGAGGAATTAGTTTTACTTTCAGTGTCTCAAACAAGGCATGCTTCTCCACCCATTGTTAAGAAAAACAATCTTTCTGCTAGTCAACGGTGTAAGTATACCTTAAGAAGTTCTCAGATATTATCCTAAGAAAATCTTTATTATTCCCTACGATTTTCTTGTTTTCTTATGTTGGCTATGTTGCATTTTACAGATTACCATAAATGAAATGAGATATATTTTTCATTTATATTAACCGTTTTTTCCAATATTTATCTTTTAATCTGCTCAGAGGACAGCAAAACAGAGAAAAAACATCAAACAAAGTGTTGAAAAAAGCAAAAAAGAACTACAGTTGATGGTGGAAGAAATAGTCAACAGGAATTAGTTTCACTTTTAGTGTCTCAAACAAGGCATGCTTCTCCACCCATTGTTAAGAAATCCAATCTTTCTGCTAGTCAAGGGTGTCAGTTATAAGCACAAGAATGCTATAAATGTTACAAAAGACAAAAATAAAAAAGCTACTTAGAGAAGATGAGAACACATCCAAGCAGGTGGGCAGTGAGAAATGCTTAACTTACTTAGCTTGCATTAGTTGGTAGCATATTGACTGTCATGAATTAGAAAAAGATTAATGTCATAAACAAGACCTAGGAACAGAAAAGCAAATTTCTCTCACATTACTTGTCACAAGTGCATTTTTCTACCAAATGGATGAGCCCAGAAACTAAATATAATCATTTTTTTTTTCTTTCTATTTAAACTCTTGGAATTACTGGCCTGTTGGCATGTTGGCTTTCTAGTCTTACCAGTTCCGTAAAATGATTGAAACTTCCCATCACAACTGACTGAAACCCAATTAGGCTCCCACTGGTATTCGCAGTCAGTGACATATCTAGAACTCCCACAAAGCACATAGTGATATAAAGCATATATTTTTTCTCACTAAACTGGTTCCACCCAATGACTGTAAGGAAGCACGGACGTGGCTAAAAGCCCTTTCGTTCTATAGAAACGAAGCTAAATTTCTTCTGCCACATTGTCAGATTTGGAACCAGAGTTTGTGCGTACCAGAGTTAAAATTGGGTACGCCTACTTAATTGGTAGGCACGCCCCCTTTTCCCAATACTAAAGTCCAGCGCATTGCAGACTGCCTTCACTGATCTTGCAACGGTAGCGCCGGAGGAACACAGCCTGAAAAGAGCAAAAGCAAAGGGGACTTTTTTCTCCTGGATATCCAGTTTGTCCGGTAAGTGTAATGTTTCAACCTTAAAAATGCAGTGCATGTAAGTTATGTAATTTAATGATATATTCAGACACCTTATGTTTCTGAATATAGCCAGTAACAAGTTAATAAAACAAACGTTACTAACTATCAGTGGGCTAACATTATATTTCATTTCAACCGCTGTAGAATCGAGTTGACACTTTCCTTCTGATCACTTGCAGGGTTAATATTAACTTACCTGGAAGATCAGTGTAGTGTCACATATTTGATTCTGCTAAGTCTTGATTTCAATGTGTCATCAGATGTTTTGTCGCTAAGAAAATACTAAAATGCCAAAATACACAACACTAAAAACCACCAGATCCAAGAGAGTAGAGTAGTAGAACAGCCATTCATAACCTGTTGTAACAGAGCTGAAAACCTAGTTCCACTCTATTGACTCTTATACCTTTATTTTTTCACAGACAAAGCCATGACTTTTCGTTTGATGTGCGTGGCCATCCTGATCATAGCAGCTCACCTGTTGCCAACTGATGCTGCTGTCCGTGTGTGGGGCTTGCGAGCCTTTAACTTGGACGGCGATCCTATCGGCCCCCCTGACCCCTACGTCAAAGTCTCGTGCGGCTCCACTTTCAGCGGCATGACCGACTTCCGCCAGGACAATGCCAACCCTACATGGAGTGATGAATTCAACTTCCCCAAGTGCAAAGCTAAAGACATCCTGAAACTGGAGGTGTGGGACAAGGACCTCATCTATGACGACCAGCTGGGCACCTGCACCTTGAAGGTGCAATCTGGCACTCAACTAAAACTTGACTGCATTGTGGGCAGAGGCAGTCTGAGTTTCAGCTATTTGCTCAAATAAATGTCTGAGGTCTCTCAGCTGCTAAGAGCTTCTAACAGCAATTAGAATGCCTTATCTCATGCTTCTTCGCTTCTAAGTCTTAACATGTCTTTGATATCAATTAAAGACCAATATTAAAGTGATTTTCAGCAAACTTGTGCACAGCTCTTCACTCGTACTTTCTACACTCACATTCTGAGAAAAAAATTAGTATATACTGTGGTTATTAAGTGTAAGAGGAAAAAGAAAGTTGCATGACTGTGCTGTAATCACAACTAGACATCTTGTGGGTAGTTTTTGGTCTGTGGTTATGAGCTTAAATGTCAATTCCACTGATTTTTCCAACTGTAAGCATTATTAAATAATTACTACATAAAGCCCAGAGTAGTTTGAGGTGAAATGCTCCATTCAAGTCTAGTAGAGCTCCAGCTGTTCATAGTGGTGGTGATAGGAATGAGACAGCTGAAGTGAGTTCAATGCCTCTGAAAGTTCCCTCACAGAACTTTACTATATGAAATGTTTATGAACACTGCCTGATGTCAGAGATGATGAAATTTTGTCTGAAATGTATTTTTAGAGACATTTAGGTACAGAGGTACACTCAGGGTGTTGTGAAGCAAAATAGTCCCCAAAAGAAGCTTATTTTTCTAGATCTCCCATTATTTTACCACCATGAATATTTCAAAAGACACCTGTGGGTTCATTGGTGGTTTTGGAGAGTAAATTAAATGTCCATATTTGCAAAGACGTCATGACTCCTGGTTTCAAACTTCACAATGTCCAGCATTGAATATCAGGGTATACCTTATTGCTGAACATCAAATATTGGAAAATGGTACAAGTGTACACTCAAGACAGTAGTACCTCACAAAAGTATGAGAAGTGGCCCTGCTTGCAGCAGAGCAAATATTTTGCAAGGAGAGCCCTACAGTGGGGTTCTGGACACAACTGCGCCCTTGAGGCTCAAAGGAAGATGTATCCCACACGCCAAGAATATGTTCTGCACAAGTCAGTATAATAGGCATTGTTTCAAGATATCTTTCCCTAAGGGGATACAAAGAGCTGGTCACTCGTTCTGAAAGCTTCAGTGGAAGGCCTGCAGTGGACAGAGTCTATTCTGATTCTGTGCGGAGAAGAGGTGGGAGTGCATGGGTTAGGCTTGAGAGAAACTCACCATATATGGTATGAATTTAGACTCATTTCAGTACACCAACACATTTGGCCATGGCCAATGTCACAATCAAAGCAATGAGCCATAATTAGCCTTGCTCTTCCTCAATCTTACCTTCAGCTCTCTTTGTACACTCCTTAGTTATTCCTTATCCCTCAACCTAAAAGCCTGCTTCTTATTGTTCAAAGGTTCCTTCAGGTCCTTGGTGATCCAGTGGTGAACCAGGTTGTGGTCCAATCTTCCCAGTGGAGGAAGGGCAGATGAAATGTAGGCATCTTTAACATTTGCATACAGATGATCCAGCACTCTGTTCTCCCTGGTTGCACATTTAACAAACTGGTGGAACTTTGGTAAAGTGGTGGAAAGTAAAACATGATTAAAACCCCCAGAAATGGCAATGAAAGAGTTCAGGTACAGAGTCTGAAGTCTCACGATAGCCAAGAGTATGATGTCGTACAGCACTTCCACATCAGCTGCCGGCAGGATGTAAACAATGACAATAATGGCAGTTGTGAATCCCCTTAGCAGATAGTACAAACGTAAATCAACAGCTAAAAGTTCAGCATTTGGGCAAGAGTGACTCTCCTTCAGGGTAATATGTCCTGGATTGCACCATCTGTTATTCACTAAATCATTCTTATTTATTTATAATTATTCACCTCCACTTTCCTTCTTACCGCTCAGTTCAGCATCTCTGTCCCCCCTCACGACATGACAGCTGGTAATCGAAACACTAGAGTCCGGAATATCAGCGTGTCTCGAAAAAACACAGCACACTGCACTCCCGATACTCCCACTGAGTCTCGATCAGCGCGTTCTGTTCGTCCACCTTATTACCGAGAGATCTCATATTCCCCATGATGATGGAGGGGATGAAAGACTTGTATCCTCTTTGCCTTCACCTTAACTCCAGCTCTGTATCCCCTGAATTTTCTCCATTGTTCTTTGGGAACTGGAGCATTAACGGAACATGAAGCTTCTCACGTGAGTAGGTAAGGTGAGCTGCTCTCTCCCCATTGTTCACCATTCTGAGTCATAAAAGTACTTAAAACTAAAAAAACAACAAAAAAACATGTTCATGTCTGATACCATTGAGAATTGCAGCCTTAGGTGGGGATTCAGAGACTAAAGACTGAGCCTGTGTGACTGAATATCAGTACTTGCACACTGCACCTTCCGCTTTGCTAGTTCTAGATTCTAGATTCCTCCAAAATATTTAGATCTCAAAGAAGTTTTTAGGAAGGATAATGCCATCGACCTTGTTGATAATGCAGTTCTTCCCAAATCTAGAATCTACTCATTAACTCAAGAGGAAGAACATGCTATGGACACTTACATACAAGAGGCTTTAGGCCAGGGTTCTTCCACTTCTCCTGCAGCTTGAGGTTTCTTTTTCATTCAGAAAAAAAGATGGGGGTTTCCGTCCATGCATTGATTACCATGGGCTAAATCAAATTCCTAAAAAGTATCCCTACCATCTTCCTCTGATTCCAGTACTGCTAAAGCAATTGTGTGGGGCACAACATTTCAAGAGAACCCTGAATCTAAATCCAAAACCTTCTTCCCCCAACTGTTACCGTTTCCTCTATTCGATGAGAAAATAGAGATAGCCCTAGACAATTCGATAGTACCTAGTCAGTGCCCCATCGGTTTATTACTTGGGCTCATTTGTCCCTTACTACTGGTCACCAAGGAGAAACTTGCACACAGCAATTACTCGCTAATTGCTATTGGCAAAATTCAATGAATAGTGATGTTCACAAATTTGTATGATCTTGTTCAGCTTGTTCCCAGTGTAAAACAACCAAAAGCTTTTTTTGACACATTGGGGTATCGGTTAGTCTAACTTCTGGGTATCACACCAAATCCAACAGACACTGTAAACCAAACTGTGTGGGCAGAGAATGCTCAAAATTCTTGGATCCGGTCTTCTACTGAAATCACTCCTTTCCAGTATGTGTTTGGTTTCCAATTGCCTGTTGCACCATGGACTGGTTTGGTATCAGATGTTCCAGCAGTGGATGACTGTATGCAGTGGAGAGAGAGGATCTGGGAGGAGACCCATCAGTGAACAGAGACAAAGACACAAGCATCAAGCAGACCATAATCAAAGAGAGACCCCTAATTATCAACCAGGACACCAGGTTTGGCTCTCTACAAAGGTTTCAGGTTTTCTGAAAGGAATAGCTGAAGTCAGCTATTTGCCAGCTTCTTGTTTGAATTTTCACGTTCCACCTTAAATGGTGCAGCAGTTACATTCTGGCATTTCAGGTGTCAATACTGCTGGACTATTTAAGGTGGAACGGGAAGTTAGCTAGCTAGCTACCAAATCGTTAGCATGCTATTAGCGATTTTTATGCTTGTTATGAAGAAAACGACCATAATACATTGAAATGACATTAAGATAATATGATAGTTATTGTAAATTTTTAACAGAGAAAATACTCACATTTGTGTGTTTCTTTGGTCCCTTGTTCAGCCATCTTGCCAGTTTTTCTTGGGCTGTGCCTCTCTGTTTGGGCTGTGCCTCTGAAAAATTTAGGGCCATGTAGCCCTAACACTTCGCCCTACCCCTCCATCTCAACAAAAATTGGGACACCCTAACCCTAGACGTGAACGCACAAAACAGAGGGCTCAGGGCTAAGTGGTAGGGGCAAGAGGTGAAATGGGATTGGGCCTTGTTCATTCCATGTGTCATTGCTTGTTCCAAGTCCATTGGACACTGTGGAAGTATTAATGGTGGGAGGAGGAAAGACGCCGGGGGGCAGGTGTGAAGACGGAGAGCTTTTCTTTATTCACAACGAAAAAACAAAATACTCGGCTTTTCAGCCCACAAAGACAAGACACGCGCTGGGACTTTTCAGTCCTTTCTGTCCACCTTTTTTCCTGATCCATTCAGGTCAGTTCAGTCCGGTTTAGCTCAGCTCTTACGCCTCCAGTGGTCTCCTTCTCTCTCTGGGCTCTGCCGCCTACTGAAGGAAGAGATTGCCTATAAGTAGGCTGGCAGAAACAAGGCACAGGTGAACATAATCAGCTAGTTAGCCCGCTGGTTCAGCCCGACCGGCTTCTCCGTCCCGCATTCGAGGCTCGGCCACGCCCCCTTCTCCACATACCCCCACTGCCCGACGCAGGTCGTTTCTGTGTGGACTACTTTTCTGTAGTCCACACAGAAACGAACAGTCCTTGGGGACAAGCACCACGGGGCTGCTCCAATCACTGTGGGACTCCTCAATTACCCCCATATCGAGCATAGCCTTAATTTCATCCTGAACCACCGTTTTTTTGTGCTCAGGCAAGCGATAAGGCCGGCTGCGTACAACCACACAAGGAGGAGTTTCAATGTGGTGCTCTATGAGGTCAGTACAGCCAGGCAGAGGCGAAAACACGTCGGAAAACTCCATTTGTAACCTTGCCACCTCTGCTTTCTTGGACGGGGAGAGCTGGTCCCCACAGGGGACCGGAGTGTGAATAAGTTTGGTTGGGACCTGCGGCCCCAACTCGACTCTCTCGGGAACCACCGTCGCCAGAGAAACAGAGACCACCTCCCTCCAAGGTTTAAGGAGATTGAGGTGGTATACTTGAAGTGCCCCGCCTCTGTCTGTCCGTCTGACCTCATAGTCAACTTCTCCCACTCGCTGTGTGACCTCAAAGAGTCCCTGCCACTTGGCGAGCAATTTGGAGCTCGAGGTGGGAAGTAAAACGAGTACTCTGTCTCCCAGTGAAAACCTACGTAGCCGAGTGCCCCCTGTTGTAGGTGAATTTCATTTTTGCTGTTTGAAGGTCCCTCCTCCCAGTACTCTTTAATGACGTCTAGGACGCCCCTGGGTTTTCTCCCGTACAATAACTCAAAAGGAGAAAACCCCGAGGAGGCTTGCGGGACCTCTCGCACTGCAAACAACAGGGGTTCTAGCCACTTG